AGGCGGGATATTCATCGTTCAAATCAGGCATACCAGGCCAGGTTGCTCTGCCCAACAAAATGTAGCCCGTACAACTTGTTGTCTCAAAGATGCCCATGTGACGGATCTCTCTACCAGGTTGGGATGGTACCCCGTCCTGCACCGCAGCATGCAGCGTCTGGTCCGGCAGCGGCCGGGAAGACGGCCCCAAGTCTTCCAAGAAGAGGAGAACCCGAACTTCCCCGATGATCTCCTTGGAGGTCTCCTGAAGTCAAACCTTTGTTGGAAAATGGTTGTGTGGGTGGGTGGGTGGGTGGGTGGGTGGGTGGGTGGGTGGGTGGGTGGGTGGGTGGGTGGGTGGGTGGGTGGGTGGGTGGGTGGGTGGGTGGGTGGGTGGGTGGGTGCGGTGGGGTGGGGTGCGGTGCGGTGCGGTGGGGTGCGGTGCGGTGCGGTGCGGTGCGGTGCGGTGGGGTTGGGTTGGGTGGGGTGGGGTGGGGTGGGGCTGGGTGGGGTGGGGTGGGGTGGGGGTTGGGTGGTGGGGTGGGTGGGTGGGTGGGTGGGTGGGCGGGCGGGCGGGCGGGCGGGCGGGCGGGCGGGCGGGTGGGTGGGTGGGTGGGTGGGTGGGTTGGGTGATAAGGATGCGTGAAATCCATGAAAGGGGTCCCTTGTTTTGAGCACAGAAACGGAAGCAACGTATCTGTTTGTCATCATCTCAGCCACGAGCTTCTGTAGCTGTAAGCCCAAGGTAAGGTGCAACTAAGATATCACCACCTATGCCTTGCTCTTGACCTTTGCCATTGGACTGTGTGCCAAGTCAACTTTCCTGTGGGAAATCAGGTATTCACAGTTGCATGTTGCGCTTGTCTGATAGGAGGTTGGTGAGAAGACATCAACCGCATATCACAAATAATGCACTGTGAGACAAACTGCGAAGCAGTATCTGCGTCGGCTCTCTTATCTTGCACTCCGCTCACTCTCATTGAGAACTACAGGCGGGCTGAGTCAAGGAATGACAATGAAACCTGCGCCTCCATCAGCACAGACTAGGCCATAACTGGCCATAACAATATCCAAGCTAATCCATCTACAGTATATGTCTACCTATCCGTCTAGCACTCTATCTGTTCGCGTACCTGTCTGTCTATCCGCCTATGTATCAGTGTCTCTCTACCCGAATCTCAATTTATCGAACTAACTGTATCTATATCTATCTAGCTATCTATCTGTCTATCAATCGATCTACCTGTCTATTGATCTACCTATCTGTCTATCCATCTATCTACCTCTCTATCTATCTGTTTGTGTGTCTATCTGCCTATCTACCTTCTTATTTACCTATCTACCTAACGATCAATCTGTCTATCGATATCATTCTCTATCTATCACGAACTCTGTAGCTGATCTTGCAAGCAGCTGCACCGAAATCTGCGCCCGATCTTGTGAAAGCGCTGCGCCTGTCACGCAAAGTACTGCTGCGAGAAAAGCGCGCGCGTCCGCGCCTTTGGGCCCGGCTCCGACATCGCTTCGGCTCCGAGATCGCCGCGAACTCAGGCTAACTTTCGAGCATCTGAAGAAAGTGAACCCGCATAGGGCTGCACTTTTCTCTTCCCGAGGCACGGCCTCTTGTCTCCTGTCAGTTTTTGTTCAGTTTGATGAAAGCAACATAATCGCCTGACTGCACGTGTTCAACCACACCTCGCCAACCGTTTTCAATCCAAGCAAACAAGGCTGAAACCCAAACAACGGAGATGTGTACTAGTTTCAGCGCCAACCTTCAATCAACTGCACACCAATGATTCGTCCTCTGCACTGCCCAGCAGGCACACCTGATCCAAGACCTTGAAGCCATGGACCATGCTGGGCAGCCTTGCAGAACCACAGCTCAGCCGAACCGAAAAGCCATGGGGCCAATACATAGCTATAGCGTAGATCATCAAGGGAAGCCCCTACTGTAAATTACGGATGCAACTTGGAATGTGGAAATCAACAAATCCATCCTCTTGCGACGCCTGTAAAGAAAGGGCTTGATGCCATGCATTCACAGCTTTTTTGTAGTCAGTGAGTGGGAAAACAACGATTGTAGTTATTGCTCAGTTTCAGGTTTGAATCATTAGCCAGAATTGCGGCCAGGATGCCGTATGGTCTAGGCTGATACCGGGACAAGGGAATACAATGATGGACCGGGCATCCACAAGTTGTTTTTCTAATCAGTAGAAAAAACGTGATTGTCCAAGGTCCTCAAAGTTAAAGATCCAGCCAAATAGCGGCCAGGAGGGTAAACTGGCTTTATTGGTACTCGAACAATTGTATGCCCTACATCATGCTTGGCAAACATGTGCAGTTGGACCGACATGTGCCACGCTCAAAGCTCATGAATGCGCTCACAGGATTCCTTGTCATGGTGTAAACCCAACACCCCCTAGTTGGGAGCCACATGGCCGTGGGTCAAAAGCCAAATCGTACCCCCAGCACAGCCACATGGCACACATGGGACTTGCATGGCACTGGGCCTTGCGGACTTCTGCAAGGGCCGCTCGAAGGCGCTGCCCAACATCACCTCCGCCAGGCCCAGCAGGGTATCCTGCCGCGTTAAGGCGATGCTTTGAAGAATACCCCCTAACCCGGACATTTGTAAGCAAAAACGGCAGGTTGCTTTTGCGATGGTTGTTTTTGCGAAGTTGGGTTGCGTGACGAATTGGCCCGGTGACATTTATGAGTGGCACCTCAAGCATTTGGCAGGAGCTGGAGCAGCTCATCTCCGAGGAAGGACCTCATAGGAAGGGTTGGGACGTAGGGATCCAAACAAGGGGCTGAAGCCTACTTTCCCACATTGCCAAGAAAAAGGGAGTGCGACTCTAGTCGGCAAGAAACAAATCCAGGTCTCACAACCCCCAAAAAACGATTTGAGTTGGGAGGCTGCAGTGAAACGCAACGGATCGCGAACTGCATCAGCAGCGCAGCAAGCCGGACAGCCAGCCTGATTTATATGCCAATAGCTCTCACAGTGCCTGAAAAGAACATCTAGCCATCCAATCTGTGGGGCCAAGCGCTGAGCGAGCTTTGCTGCAACCAGGAGGAACAGCGACCTATCTGCCGGCAAACCCAGCAAGCGCAGCAGACCTTCAACAGTAATTCCGCTTGCACAGGCAACTCAGAAGGCCCCCAGCACCACCCAACCCTCGCACCTGTCAGCCTCCATCTACTTTCCACGTAATAACCTAAGGCACATGTGGCCACATGTGGTCAAATTGTCTTTTCGTGGTTGTCAAGCAGAGAAACTCAGTTGGGGTTCCACGTTTAGGTGAAGCCGAAACCCATCTTTTTTTGGTTTCCCTTTGGATTTTCTTTGGTTTTACATTGGCTTCCCTTTTCCCACCCCCCAAAACAGGGCTGCACCCCCTTCCCGGCACCTCCGCCTCCCCCCCCCCCCAGCCCGCGCCTTGCGGAGGCTATCGCGTGCCCAGAGCTCCAGGTGCAGCGGCTCCTCAAAAGCGGCCCGCAGGGCCGCGCTGGTGGCCGCCAGCGAGTAGGCCGCGAAGCCCTGCACGGAGACAGCCACAGCGACGCAAACAGGTCGAAACACACACATACAACAAAAAACGTGTATGCATGCATGCATGCATGTATGTATGTATGTATGTATGTATGTATGTATGTATGTATGTATGTATGTATGTATGTATGTATGTATGTATGTATGTATGTATGTAATGTATGTATGTATGTATGTATGTATGTATGTATGTATGTATGTATGTATGTATGTATGTATGTATGTATGTATGTATGTATGTATGTATGTATGTATGTATGTATGTATGTATGTATGTATGTATGTATGTATGTATGTATGTATGTATGTATGTATGTATGTATGTATGTATGTATGTATGTATGTATGTATCTATGTATCTATGTATCTATGTATCTATGTATCTATCTATGTATGTATCTATGCATGTATGCATGCCTGTATGTCTGCATGTCTGCCTGTATGTATGTATGTATGTATGCATGCATGCATGTATGTATGTATGTGTGTCTGCATGTATGCATGTATGTCTGAATGTATATATGCATGCCTGTATGTATGCCTGTATGTCTGCATGTATGTATGTCTGCATGTCTGCCTCTACGCATGTACGCATGCATGAACGGCTTTTCAGTCCTCTTGCTCAGGCGTCGCCATATCGCCTTGAGGCACTTGCGCTAGGCTCTGCACTGGATCGACGAGTCCGTGGAAAAGTGGTTTGGCTTGCCACTGCTTAGGGTCGAGTGTGAGGAAGGACCAGCCTTCCTTACAGTTGGGGGCTGTTCTGGGAAAATTGCCATCTGGCAGTACCAGATACCTCGACTAGGAGCAGAAGGAGAGCTAGCCTTTGGACTGCTTCGTGGAAACAGCTCTGTCTCGTGAAGTCTCTGGAGAAGCAGAGGGGTCACCTTGTTGGAGTTGATCCGCTCTGGAGCGATTGAGACGCCCGAGGAGCTGAGCTTTCCCCGGTGGCAAGCATGGCGGGCCTGGCAAGGAGGCCAACGAGGAGGGTTGACGGCCGAGGGATCACCACTGCGGAGGAAGTTACGCTGTGGAGGTCTGTGATGGCTGCCCTCTATGGAGAAGAACGAGTTGATGATCTCGAAGAAGAAGAAGAGGCCCACCCCCAGACCCCTTGGCGATCGTCCCGGCGCAGCCTGCTGTTAGCACGGGAGAAGGAGGTGCGGGTACCACGCCGCGGCTGTCTGGGCCTGGGGGCGCTGGTGCTAGCACTCCGCCTGCAGGAGGAGGTGCGGGCGGGTGGGTCAGCCCTCGGTCATGGGCTGGCTCGTCTGCGCCCGGCGCCCAGGAAGTCCGGCAGCGGGTCTTTGCGAGTCACGATCCGCCACGGCTTACTAGAAACGTTCCTGAGCAAGATGAGGAGGTTGGTATCGGCAATGGAAGTGTTCGGGATGCCGCTGGCTCAGGAGAAGGTGGATCAGCTGGAGTTGAAAGCCCGGTTGGTCCAAGAAGCTTTTGATACGGTGAAGAAGTACGACCCCCCGTGGCCCTGGATGATGGCACGACATCGGAAGAGAAAGGGAAGCTGACCCTTGGTCTAGCTGAGGTCATCCAGGATCTTGGCGGTCGCGTCAGCTCTAAGGCTAATAAGGTCTTTTCCACACCTGCTGATGAGCTGAAGGAGGAGGAACCTGCGAGGGGCAAGAAGAGGGCGGTCCCCGAGGACGCCTCAAACGGTCAGCTCACTCAGGTGCGGGCGAAGCTCGCCGCGCTTGAGATGGAGTTGGAAGGGATCAAGAGAGGGTCCGAAGCGAGTCCCCGGAGAAGGACCTAGCCATGGCGGTGGATTCGCAGATGCGCTCACCAAAGCTCTGGTGCCAACATTTATGCATGCGTACATGCATGCACTATGTATGTATGTATGTACGTACGTACGTACGTATGTATGTACGTACGTACGTACGTACGTATGTATGTATGTATGTATGTATGTATGTATGTATGTATGTATGTATGTATGTATATGCATGCCTGTATGTATGCCTGTATGTCTGCATGTCTGTACGTCTGCATGTCTGCCTGTACGCAAGTATGCATGCATGCATGCATGTATGTATGTATGTATGTATGTGTGTATGTGTGGATGCATGGATGTATGTATGGATGTATGGATGTATGGATGTATGGATGTATGGATGTATGGATGTATGGATGGATGGATGGATGTATGGATGTATGTATGTGTGTATGTATGTATGCATGCATGCATGCATGCATGGATGGATTTATGTATGCATGTATGTATGCATGTATGCAAGTGTGCATGTGTGCATGTATGCATGTATGCATGCATGTATGCATGTATGCATGCATGCATGCATGTATGTATGTATGCATGTACATGGGCGAGTCAACATAGGCAGTCCCAACAAATCGTTGGTGGTTTGCCGATTTTCTTTTAAAACCACCTCACAACGCAACCCTCAAAACGACACAGACGTATATACACGCAGCCATGTGCGCAGAAACGGATGCAACAACGTACGTCGTACTAGTTGAGGCAGGTCGCCATATTTCAAGATCATTCTTATGTCGCACCCAGCCTGAGGGCGTGTGACGGAATCTATAAAATCAACCGATGGGATAAGTCTACGTTCTGATGACCTCTTGAACAGCAATTCCTCAACTTGCCTCTTGTCCTTCCCAGTGTAAGCGGATAGACACCATGTCTCTACAAGGCTACCCCATAACATACTTCAAGTTATTTGTCATTTCCACTTGCCACCCGGCTTGCTGGCTCGCCCGCTCTGGCCTTGGGCAAGTGCGTGGTGGACCCCTTGCGCGCCATCACGGGCGGGCTGGTTCGGAAAGTGGCCGGCTGATTCTTCGCGAAGACGGGGCCATAAGAGTAGCTCACAAAGATGTTCGCCGCTGCAGTGGTGAGCTTTACCTCCAAGACGTGGCGAAATAATTTTGCCCCTTTTGGGAAGTGTCATGTAGGGGATGTTGTGGTGCCATTTCAGCTGATGCGCCCACGTTGGGCGGACCCCTGCAAAGACTCAGTGGTGTCAGGAGAAACTTGAAGTATACCACCACATTCAGAGGAGAACTTGCGAGTATGACACAAAGCAAGGTGTTCAAACGTATCTGTAGGTGGGTAGGACAAAAGAACAGGTCGTGGGACGCTCTCACGTGCCACGTGAGCGGTTGGCATGGAGCTGTGTTTGGCTTCGAACTGGTCATTCATCCCTCCAACAAGTCTAGCTCGATCAGTGTTTTGGGCAAGTGATTCAGTACACAGTTTGACCTTATTCTGACTTCGGGGTAGGGGTTGGGCTGACATTCCAAACTGAAGGAGCTGCATGAAGGTTTGTGCTATCCCTGAATCGGCTTTCCCCAAGACACATCCGATGTGATATTATTCGCAAGATAATTGCAAGTAAGCTGTCCAGCTGCTACCAACGGCCTGTCTTGGTTTTGGCTCGTACCAACGACTTGAAGCGCGTAACATGCCCATGCAGCAACGCACCCCTCAGGTACGAATCTCTTGCGGCTCTTCATCGTTAACAATTCATGCAGGGCTCAACACCCAGCATAAGTTATAAGTAATTGTTCAACAATTCGCAAGAGCTTCCATGTTTCAACTAAAGGGTGGGAATTCAACACAGTTCAGTAGGTTTGCGCCCAAACTCGGGTGGACGTGCGGTAGATTGCCTAATATACATACATGTAGATATACATATATATATATATATTACATATATGTATATATATATATGTATATACATATATATATATATATATATGCCGACTAGGCAACCATTGCAAGTCTTGTGTCGGGGATTGTGGCCAAGACAAACGTTACGTGAATCCTTTTCTTTGACCTCAAAACCAGATAGAAATTGCTGCCGCAAAGCTACCATGACACGTTTGTTGCCGCAGGTTGGTCACCCAATGGCCCTCTACATGTAGCGCAATGAGCGGTAGTGGTCGCTTGGCTCAATGTAGCACAAAAGCTACTGGCCCGGTATCGAGGGGCTCACATGGCCATGGGTCAAAATCCCGCACCCCCAGTGAACATCCCAATCCCCACAAAAAAAAAACAGAAGGTGGTGCACCTACCCCAAAATGGTACCATTGGTTTTGACCCACAGCCACATGGTTTTGACCCACAGCCACATGTCCGGACCACCATCTTGCCAACAGCTCAGACCCTTCGATTTGTTTCGAGGTGCTGAGCGGATCTCCAGGGACACCCGCCAGCAGCGGGGGCCCGTGGCGATGTCGAGCTGCTTCTCTTTGGTGCTCCTGAGCCATGAAAACAACCGCCTGGACAGAAGGCACAGCTTGAAAAGAAGTGGGTCTTTCCTAAAAAGAGGAAGAACGCTTGAACCTTTGCTGTTTGGTGTCCCGCCAAAACCTATCCGAAAGAAGTCCCCACCAATTTAGCACACCCACGTGCCCCAAACGGTGACCCCCCGCAGTCCGCGACCCCGGCTCGCTTATCCGAGCTGCCCACTCCACGGCACCCGCCGCAGCCGGGCCTGGGGTGTTGCCATAGGAGTGATCCCGCGGGAAAAACATAAGACCCCCCCTCCAATCGGGGTAAGTTCCCAGAATTGTTTTGCACAGAAACCTTCCTCAGCTCCTTTCACGACCTAGATCCAAGGGAACAAAGACACCATTCCACCGGAAAAAATAGTTTGTTCCTGCTTGCCATGCTGGAAACCCGGCTGACAACTGCATGGCCCAACCCCCAGATATCGTCACTTGAAAAAAACTCGTCCACCCGAAAGCTCATCAGCCCCTCTATTGCCTGGATCACTTCGCTGGTAAGGGCCAAAACCATGGAATGGGGTTGTGGTGTGATTGAAAACCACACTCAGTCATGATCACAGGCGAAACATGATAGCAATCGTTTACACCCGGGACGCGTTGGCGAACATGAACAATTCGGTGCCGCATGCTATCGGTTTCTTGAAATGGCCCCCAAAACGCGCCCCAACATGGGGTGCTTCCTTTACCAACCAAGACGGGGTCATCGCCATCCACTCCGCCGCGCCTGCAGCTTCAGGCCGGACCCCGGCGCCGTGAGCTCGGCGCACGCCTCGGCGGCGCCAGGTTTCGCGGACTCGGCCGCCTCCATGAGATCGGTGAAGTCCAAGGGCCACGCGGCCTGTTCAGCGCGGCGTGGAGTGGTTGGTTGGTCGTGGTCGTGGTCGGTCGTGTGGTCGTTTGTGGTTGTGTGGTTGTGTGTGGCTGTGCGCGGGTGTGTGGTTGTGATGTCGGTCAGCTGGTTGGTTGGTGGGTTGGGTGGGTGGGTGGGTGGGTGGGTGGGTGGGTGGGTGGGTGGGTGGGTGGGTGGGTGGGTGGGTGGGTGGGTGGGTGGGTGGGTGGGTGGGAGGGTTGGCTGGGTGCCGCGGGCTCCCCCTTTTGCCAGGCAATGACGTTTACGGAGCCTGGGGCGCTCGGCCAGTCTGAACTGCAAGTGGAGGGGGCGATGACGGTTCCGGAGCCCCCTGCAAAGCCTGGAGGGATGGCGCCTTACGCAGGGCCCTGCGCTCCGGCGCAGAGGCTTCTTCTTCTTTCTCTCTCTCTCTCTCTCTCTCTCTCTAGAGTGACGTATGGTGGATGGAGGTCCCCAATTGTCTCGTAATGCTGGGATATCCTCTGATTCATGATTTTCCGAAGAATTCCACTTAAAAGCGCAATTTGCTTTTGAAACGGTGGATGGACAAACTCCTACAACAGTTGGCAGCGGTTTTCAGAACGAGTCATCCATCCCACCAACTGGTGCAATATTTGATCCAAGGAGGAACACGACCTGGGAAGTGGTTGTACGAGCAGACATTTCTGATTGAGCACGTATTGAAGACCACAAACAAGGTAGCAAGAAACAAACAAAAAGTGCTTCCTGCTGCCTGAATTGGTTGCAAGATAAATATATGACCCTCATCGATAGAAGTGTCGGGAAGCTCCTTCCATCCTCCGTGCACATGCAAGGGAAGAACGATTGCGTCTCTGGCACATGTCAATGATCCCATGTCCACACTCAACATGACATAGCCATGAAGCGAGTGCAACCCCAGCCAGGAAGTGCGACTCTACTGCCTTGGCTCTATTGACATCATCCCCTAGATGGCAACCATGCAACTCGTTTTCGAAACCGAAGCATTGTCAACTGGGCTCACCGATTTGAATACTTGTATAGAGTTCTTACACATTCAGGAAACCTGGCGAGTCGTTTTTTTACAAGACTACCATTTTGGGGTGGCTTTAAAGAAAATAAGAGCAGAACAAGAAGGCCATTCAATTGCCGATTTGCTCAAGAGTCCCTACTCCAAGATATGCACGGAACTTACATCTGACAATGTGCGCCTTGATCCCGTTCTAATTTCCTGATGGCTACTTAAAACACGGCATGCATCATCACAAGACTTCATGCCATCTTAGATTGGAGTATGGCACCCATGAAATTTGCAATGATTATGTGCGCCCCGCAGAAACGCTTTTGTATTTGCCCAGGTGTGGCCCAGGCCACCATACATCAGTCGTGGTGCAAAATGAAACATTGAAGCACCTCGCATCCCTTGCATCCCAAAGCAGTTCCTGAAGCATTCCCTGAAGCCAACATCCGGTCCCCGCACCCCGCAGCCGTTTTGGTTTCCGTCGGGTTTTCGGGGGGGCCCTCGGTGCACTCGGGGCCTGGGCGTCGAGGACCTGGGCGTCGAGGCCATAGAGGGCGCCGGTGGCATCACGCCAGTCACCGGTGGCCAGCGTGTGGAACTCCTCTCGGGACGACAAAAAAAACCGGCCTCAGACCGAGTTCCCTCTAACCAATGGACCTCAATCTCTCAGATCCCTGCAGATTAAGATGGATCCCCACAAGCATCCGGGTGTAGGTCAAAATGAAAACCACCAGGAATTGGACCGCAGGTTGTAGTCCAAGTTTCCATTTACCAGGGCAAGCCATTTTGGGTACATATTTTTGACCCAGAGCCAAATGGCCATGGGTCAAAACCCAACCGTGCCCCCAGTGAACATTCCAATCCAACCACTAAAAATCCGCCGACGCCAGTCGAGCGTGTAGATGGCAGTCCGCAACTCGGTCTTCCTTCGGAATCTCTTTTTTTGGGCATGCTGTGCTGGGTGTCCAAAACCTGTATTTTTCCAGTGTGTTTGGGTCTTTTGTGCTAAAAAATCCATGTTTCGCCTAGGTCTCTAGGGGGGGGTGTTTCCCCCGCACGCGCAGGATCTGCATCCACAGCATCATCAGGATTGCCTTGTTGCCATGAATTTGACTCTTTTTTTGCAGATACTAGCGGTATTTGTTTCAAGCGATGTTGGAATTGGCCTGTTAGGGGTTTGGGTGGGGCCAAGTGCAGTGATACTTTGAGGAACTGTTGAAATCTGCAAAAATGAGTGTTTTTGCAATTCCTCACCTGTGCGGAGCAGTTACTGCGAAACATCCCCTGCATTATCGTGCTTTTGGAAGTCTATTTTTTGGGTATTCGAGGGGGGTTGCTAGTATCGGTTTTTGATGGTTGCATTTGGGAAATATCTAAAACCAGGTTGTTAGCACTTTGCTGTGGCTTGCCGACTGCATTCCCAGCATTCCCCACATCTCTGGTATTTTCTGTCTTTGGTCAAAGTTGCGTGTCTGAAAGTCTTAAAATATTGAGCGCCAAGATTGGGTCTGTTCCTGTAAGTTGTGTGGTTGCATCCCTTGCATTTCCAGCATCCTCAGCACTGGCACATGAAAAACAGGAAAGTGCCAAGAAGGCCTTGTTGTACTTACAAAGAATGGGGCCGTGCTTGTATACCCCTTCGGGGGTGGTTTAAAGAGTAGACCCTAGTGTTCTTCTCCTGTCAAGTGTTCAGCCCCGCTGCCGAAGTCAGAGCGGCGTTGTTTGCATTCTCGTTAAGAGACCCATGTGACAGAGGCAAATTACATCTTTTTCCTTACCCCAAATTCGAGGCACCCTCTCCTTCCACGTGTTCAGAGCACCATGTGACCTAGGCCAAAAAACGTCTTTTTCCTTACCCCAAATTCAAGGTATCTCAGAGGGGCGTTATTTGCCTGTTCTCCTTCCAGGCGTTGAGAGACCCATGTGACCTAGGCAAAAAAACGTCTTTTTCCTGACCCCAAACTTGAGGTACCCTCAGCCAAACTGAGAGGGGGGTTGTTTGGCCTCTTTTCACTTGTTAAGAGCCCCATGCGACCTAGGCAAAAAGACGTCTTTTTTCCTTACCCCAAATTCAAGGCCAAATTCAGGCACCTCAAAAGACGTTGTTTGTTCTCCTTCTACTGGAGCGTTGCTTGTTCTCCTTCCAGGCGTTAAGAGGCCCATGTGACCTAGGCAAAAAGACGTCTTTTTCCTTACCCCCCAAATCGAGGCACCCTCTCCTTCCACGTGATGAGAGCCCCGTGTGACCTAGGCAAAAAAACGTTTTTATTTGAATTCAAGGCACATCAAAAAGGCGTTGTTTGTTCTCCTTCCACTGGGGCGTTGCTTTTTCTCCTTCGTGGCCTAGGCAAAAAAAACGTCTTTTTCCTTACCCCAAACTTGAGGTACCCTGCAGCCAACCTCAGAGGGGCGTCGTTTGGTCTCTTTTCACTTGTTAAGAGGCTCATATGACCTGGGCAAAAAACACGTCTTTGTTCCTGCCCCAAATTCGAGGCACCCTGCAGTCAACGTCAGAGGGCGCTGTTTGTAATCGTTTTTTTCCTTACCCCAAATTCGAGGCGCTCTGCAGCCGACGTCAGAGGGGCGTTGTTTGTTCTCCCTCAACACGTTAAGAGCCCGATGTGACCTAGGCAAAAGGACGTCTTGTTCCCGGCCCCAAATTCGAGGCACCATGCAGCCAACGGGCGTCGTTTGCGTTCTCCTTCCACACGCTAAGAGCCCCACTTGACCTAGGCAGAAAAAAGAGTCTTCTTCTCTACCCAAAATTCAAGGCACCCTGCAGCCGACGTCAGAGCGGCGTTGTTTGTTCTTCTTCCACGCGTTAAGAGCCCCACGTGACATCAGCCCCAGTTTATTAATAGGGGACTGTGCACTGGCGTCGGCGGATCGCGTAGCGATTTCAATAGGTTCTAAAATGGGTGGTGCACCTATCCCAAAATGGTACCATTGGTTTTGAACCATGGCCAAATGGGGAGGATTCATGGCTTACCTCGGAAACATAACATTTTGAAGACTAGTCTGCCAATACACAACTGGAAGCAGGCAATGCAAAGCAAAACCAGCGCGAAACCAGCACATGTCCCGCTGATCCCATTCTTGCTCTCCAAGAAGGTGAATCTCAATCGTCATTTCATATTTTGGAGTGCCCGTAAATTTGCGCCTCTGAAAAACAGTGTTGACAAATGCAACAAATACCTTAAATACCTTGAGCGACTATTGGCCTCCCGGTCCCCTGTCCCCCCCCAAATGGGGGGTAATTCATACATGAAGGGGAAGTTGTATTTGAACTTGAAATGACTTTGCGTAAGCGTATTGAACAACGAGTACAGCCGTTTATCCATGGCTAACGTCAACAGAAGACTTTCTTCCGTCCAAGCCAAAAGTAAAAGTATAGGGTGACCCAAAGAGTCTTGCGCCCTCGGAAAATCCTTGGTGCCAACCAGTCTGGGCCAAAATCAAGCAAATGATCCATCTGCTATTGGCTTCCTTTCAAGAAAATCAAGAAACAAGTGGGTCGCGCAACTTAGCACCCAAGAACCCTCCAGCCCATCCTCGAGGCTGTGCTCTGCCCCGTTGAGGTGAAGTCGAAGAGCTGGGTTTCGAGCCTGGAGCTCCTTAGGAAAGCGGCCGAGTTTCGGCTTTGAGCCGGTGGAAGGACTGGCTCTTTGTGTCAACAGCAACCAGCCGGGTGGGGGGGGGAGCTACCTAACTTCGTAACTTTGACTCAATCCACACAATGTTCAATGTCGTCGCGCCTAGATTGGATGCTTGGGAAATAACCCATGGCCCGCGGTCAGGCAGGAGCTTTACGCTATGAGGCCAAGCTGCCAGAATGAAAGTGCTCGGCTCCAAGCAAGGAGTTCCAGTCATCCATGGGCACACAGAGCAAAGATAAGTACTGGTGAGCACGTATACTACTCAACCTCGAGCAGGTGGATGCTTTGTCAGTGGCACCAACAGCATCTGATTCCAAGGGTCTGCTGTTGCAACAAATAGGCTTCTTTGGCTTCTGGGTCTTTTGCAGGTCATGCTCAGCTTTTCTTGGTCACGTCATGTCAAAAAAGTGCTTTCTTCCAGTACAGGAAGCAACCCGATATCATTATTCTTGGCGCCATCTCCATCTATTACTGTACAAAGGCTGCAGAAATGTACAAGTGCATCAGGTGCTATCCCTTGAGGGTGTTGAAACAAAGGGCAGATTTCCGCAGACAAACATACAAGCGTCCGGCATACACTTTGCTCCACCTCACCGCCATGCTGCCACGACGTGTAACACACCAATCGCGCAACACCGAGCGCACTTTTTGATGAAACCGCGCCGGGTAGCTGCCTCGGTGAGGAAAGCAAGTGGCAAATTTCTAGGATGGGAACTTCGACACGAGGACCATAGCGAGAACCTACTTGTACACACATGTCGAATTAAGACCAAATCTAGTTCCTTCCTTCCGCCTACAGGTGGCGTCCACAAACACACAAAAACAAAAACGCGTGGCACGCACCCACGCACGCACGCACGCAAACACGCATGCACGCAGGCACTCACCCACCCACACACACACACACACAAACACACGCGCGCGCGCACGCGCACGCGCACACACACACACAAGCACACACACACACACACCCACACACACACACACGCACACACCCACACACACACACACACACCCGCGCACAACCACACACACACACACACCCGCGCACACACACACACAAGCACACACACACACACCAGTAAACAAAAACACAAACAAACCAAACAAACAAGAGACACAAAAACGAGTGCCGTTACACCCTCAAACGGTCACAGCCAAGGACACACACACACAAACACAACAAACACACACACACAAACACACACACAAACACGCAAACACACAAACACACAAACACGAACACCAACACCAAAGCAGGACTACGAACACACAACACACACACACACACTCTGTGCGCGCACATGTGCAAGCACGCGTACGCACATGCAAACGCACACGCGCAAACACTTGCACGCGCACGCACACCTACACACACACACACACACGCACAAGCACACGCACACGCAGCCCCCCGCCCACACACGCACACACACGCACGCACGCACGCACGCACGCACGCACGCACGCACGCACGCACGCACGCACGCACGCACGCACGCACACACACACACACACACACACACACACAACACACACACACCCACACACACTCACACACAACACACACACACACACACACACACACACACACACAAAACCAAAACATACACAATCACACAATACACACACACACCACACCACACACACAACCCACCCACCCAACCAAACCCCCACCCAACCACACACGCACGCACGCACGCACGCACGCACGCAACACGCAAAACGCACGCAAACGCACGCACCGCACACGCACGCACGCTCGCACGCACGCACGCACGCACGCACGCACGCACGCACGCACACACACACACACACACACACACACACACACACACACACACACACACACACACACACACACACACACACACACACACACACACACACACACACACTTAAACTCCAAATGGAGAGTGCTAATCTTTCGAGTACAACTGATGAGTCTCGAGTACAACTGATGAGTCTCGAGTACAACTGGGGACAAACCCCATCGGCTTGCTGGTCACTTGGCTTCCCTGTAGTTACTTCAACAGGGAAACAAGGAAGCGACAGCGGTTCAGGGGGGGACCAAAAGGACGTTCAGAGCATCACGACTTTCTCAAATTGCAGGTACGTCCAGAAGGCGTCCCTTCCGGATTTCACGATCAAACCATCACTGTCTTCGTTGGGCAGTGAGTGATGGCGATCCACTGCCCCCCTGCTGAGAAACCGAAAGGGTGGTGACAGGGCATTCTGTCACTCCGCACACACACGCCCCTCAATGAGGGGCGAGGATTCTCCTTTTCTGCAGGAAGATCACATGCTCAAACCCGTGTCCCTATCGTTGACCAAAAAATCCACCGCGGCGAGGGGAACGAGAAACAGCCCTAAACCGCTCAGAAGACGGGAACGAGAGATCACCACGTTGAGCATTACGAGTGTCGCCATAGAGGACTGAAGCGAGTTGTGAAGCAGTCGAGCGATCACCATGAGAAAACGGAGTAGCAAAGGTGAACGTCTCCTCAACTGGAATGGCATCGGAATTCCGAACTTCACCAAGAGATTGATCATGCGAATGATGAGTTGTGAAGGACTCCATTCGAGACAGAATGCGCTGGTATCCCTGATGCTGCCAGTCGCGGATGGTCCATGCCTGACCGTGCTCACCAGTGCGCCCATTGGGATCAGTCACCCGCTGCCATTCCCGAAAAGAATTGTCTGGTAGATCAGGTACAGTTTCTCCGTGGTGCCATCGCTGAGGCTGTCCTGCAGTGTAGATCCGCACCCACTCCTGATCCTGCCAGACCGAGTATTCGAGCCATGGGTGCTGCTTCGAATCCTCGATGTCCATGTCGAAGTAAGAGGCAAGGCGTATCGCGGGCTCCGATCCAGCTGATAGAGGAACAGGCACCATGCACAACCATGTACAAGCAACAACCAAGCAAGGTAATGCAAGTGTGGAAACCACCCTTATTTTGTATGCTACCCCACTCGCGTGCGTCTAGTCCTCATTTAGCTCGAAGATAGGTCTCGCCCTGGCTTTGCAGCTGTCGGGAGGGTTAACAGGCCGGTATGGGTCGGAGACCCCAACAGTCTCCGATGGTGTGATTCCACGTGATGCACGTACAGGTTGATGAAGGTGGGAAGCGTGACGTGCGCGAGCTGTCAGTTGTTGAGAAATCCCCTCTTGGAGACGAGTCAGTTCTTCGGTAGAGAAATCCGCCGCATCCGAGGATCTAAGGATCGCTTCTAACATCTGCGGTGACATTCTCAATGCCGCGGATTGCGTGGCCACGCTGTGATGATCAGGAAAAGACATAGAATCAAAGTCATGACCAGCTTGAGGGGCAGCGACTCTCCGATAGCCCTCTGTGGCCCAGTCTCTTTTGTACCACATGGTGACATTGAGCTGCTCACCGTCTTGGTCCGGGTTGGGAGCATAGAACTCCCTCCACTCTCTATACGTGTGCGGTGGAGGTGGAGCATCATGTTCTTCATGTGGAGTCCATGATCCCGGATGAAAGATCTTGACCCACTGGGCATCTGGTTGTTGAGGATCCGGACACCATTCCAGCCACGGCATGACAACGCAAACCCGGAAAGACAAATTGATAGGTGTACGGCTGCAGACAACAATGACTGAAAGAGACACAACTGCCACAGTGCAAGAAATCACTTTTGCAGCAATGCACGGCTCCGGTATCGAAGTCAATCTCCCGAATCGAATTGAACTGAACAGACTCCCCAGGAAGGCGAGGACGAGCATCAGCCACCATCCGAGTTGGAGGATGCCGATGAAGAGGTCAATCCAGCGTACATGAGGTCCGGTGCGCCCGAAGCGAAAACTGGCCGCGCAATGCTAGGGTGTGGGGGACCCAGCCGTTGGTATCCCCTGGTGAGCCAGTCTCTATAATGCCAAGTATAGAAGGATGCATAAGATACCGGCTGCGAAACAGCACCTGTATTGGTGCCGCCTGTGCTATCCCTCGGCCAATACACTTCGAAGTGGTAAACCTTGCGCCATTCCCGATAGGTGGTTGAGTCATCCGGGGCTGGTCCCAAGGTGACACTCGTATTCGCGGGGCCATTGACGATGTCGTAGTCAAAGTAGCGAGGCAGGACCCATCGTGCTGCGCTATACATTGTACAATTGAACATATCAACCAGGCAAACCGCTCAGAGTCAAATGAAAGCGGCGAACAACTGGAGACGGAACGCACAACACCAAGCAAGACAACTCAACATGGAATCGCACACAAAGCAAGCACAACCGCGTCATTTTATCCGACATGTTGTTCAAGTATCACTCCGAATCGTTCCAAGGATCATAGAATGGTGGTGGTGACGGCTCTCGCCACGCCCCATCCGGAACCGATGAGTCCACCGAGGAATTGGCGTCTGCATTCACGAGCATCGCGAGTCCAATGGCTGGTAAAGGAGCTCCAAGTCGTTGATACCCTCGTGTTGCCAGTCTCGGTACTCCCACACGTGGTAGGACACATACGAACTGGGCGTGACAATGGGATCCGCTGTTGTTCCTCCGGTGCTGTCTTCGGACCAGTACACTTGGAAGCGATATGACCTGCGCCACTCCCGATACGTGGAAGCGTAGACCGGGGCGAGCACTGGAGCATCATCGGGAACGGGTCGCCACGTGCCCGGTGAGTAAATTCGAATCCATTCCACTCCTCTCTCGATCTGGTACTCGACATATTGAGGGTTCATAGCGGCAAGACAGGCTATCGCGCGGCCGCTAAAAGCAATCGAAAATCTGCGGCGAAGACACACATGCAATGACAACCGCGCGCAGCTGAAGTGTCAACCAAAGCAATGCAAGGCAACTTTTCAAACTCAAGGTGAGACACAGCAGCGAGGTTGGTAATATACGACTTATACGACGCCTAAGCTTCACCGCCGTTGATGCCGCGCACACCTGCAATGATAATGTCCTGGTCGTCTACGAGCACAAGGGGAAAGACATTTCCGCCCATGGCGCTGAAAGGCATGACAGTAATGCTTGCAATTTGCCGATGGGGACAGCGATGAGCGAGCAGCACGTTTGGAGGGGAACACGGTAAAGGGCCGCCGAGATCTCCGCGGTGCAGAAGCGGATGCTGTCCGAGATCGTTTGGATGAACGCCCTGGACTGCGTAGCTCTTCATCACGGGAATTGTCAGTGCTGTAGATCGAGCGGCGTGTGCGCTGCGATTTCGATGTGGCAGGGCAGGATTGTCCGCGAGGAGCTGAGATCGAGGGGCTCCGTACTGAGGGCATAAACTGTGGGTGTAGA